TTTCCGATCCTGTCTCCTATTTTATGTCATCATCTGTGCTGGGGTTGCCAAGCAACTCACTGGTCTGTATAGCTTCCCCAGTCAGAACTTCCACAATTTTTTTTTAAATTTAGTTAACACTCAAAATAAAATTTTGAGAGGAAATTCCACATAGATCAAAACTAGAAGCATTTCCACAAAACAAACACACAAACTGTAAAGGTTCCATTTCATAACATTATCATCTAACACTTCTCTTCCAGTCAGTGCTTAACCACTGTTGTTATGGTCATTTATCTGCTTAATGGCATTTGATTCTTAGCAATAGGGACAACACAAATATTTTTCCCCTCACAATTTGAAAAGTTTTCCTTATCCTATCACAGTTTTCTTGCAAGATTTAAATAAGTCAAAGCCCTGGATTCAGGACAAACACTAACACAGATGACAATACTGCTATCCATCTATAACAGAATTATACCAAATACCACTTTTAACCCAAAGAACTACAGTGGTAGATATGTATGTATCAGTGTCAAGCAGCTACATTTTCTTATTTGTATTGCCAGGGGCTGCAGCAAGCCAACCAGAGCCAGGAGGATTATGCTTTGAGAGGAGATGATGAAGCAGAGACATCCCCAGCTCCACACACCTTCCCATCCTGCGGCTCCCAGGGAGTCAGGAGGCAAGGCTAGCACATCCTCACCACATTTTATATAAACTATTTACACGTGAAGTTACTGACCCACTGCAAGTCTAGGGTCAACAAAACGTGGCCGTCATTGCTGGGAAGGCAGCACAGCTCACTTTCAGTTCTGCTACCCCCCAGAGCACTTTTGTTCATATGTGACACCCTGTAACTATGCTGTTAACCAGAACATTCCCATACTTACCCAGTAAGGGCAGAGCAAGCTTGTGTCAGGCAATCTCTCTTTCCAATTTTGTTAATGCAGTCACTAAAAGCAGTCTTGATATCAGGTATTGACAGACAGGTCTGCAAGTAAAAACACAGAGCTCTTTATGCTACAAAAGACGGTGACTTTCCTCTGAAATGAATCCTACCAGGACCACACCTGTGCTTCAGTGAGGATTGCATGATGGCATTAAGTGAAACTCCCTTACCCACAAACATTGCAAATTCATTTATCCAGATTCCATAAAACTGAACACATCTCTACTTCAGCAAAGACACCACTCAGACACACACACACACACATTTCCCACTGACTCCTCTCTGGTCCTCAAGATGAATATTCCTAAGCAAACACAGTCATGAACATGAGCACAACCTGTACTCCCCTCTGGATCCTGTTCCAACCTTTCCCATCATTGGTTCCCATCGTTGCACATGAGTTCTGTCTACCAGACCCCCTTCAGGGCATCTTCCTAGGAGTGCAGGAAATGCCTGGGGCAGGATCTCTCCTAAATCCCAACATGTTCCTTTAGGGTGTGTTCCCAGAGCATATTAGCATGTTCCATGTCCTCCCTGGACACATTTGCTTGCATTTCACATGCAGGAGAGTATGGTTTAAAACACACAAATGAATAAAATCCCCAGGAAACTAGTATGTTACTTTCCTGACATAAGCCACAGAAAAAAACAAAGGACAAAAAACCCTTTATTTTTAAGGGTTACAAAAGCAAACAAAAAATTTGAAAGAGTACTCATGTCACGAAAGGCAAGAGCTGCCCTACAGAAATCCAGATGGTACTCTTGTTCCGTAAGCATGGAAGTAGCAATGAGAAAACCATCAGCCTTCAACTCCTTTCCTGATCTCAATATTCACTTTCTCTTGAAGCCTTGGACAAACCAGAAGGCACTTCAGCTGGCCATGAGCCAGCAGCCCTTCTCCTTCCTGCAAAAACACTTTAGCCCTTCAATTAGGCTCAAATCTATGTGTTGAGCAAGTGTTTACTGAGACTCCAAGTGAAATCTTGAGGATCAGCCCAAGTGAATGTATACTTTGGAAGAACAGACGATGTGCAGACCGGAATTTTGTCTCCTACAAATCTGGGCCTTAACTGTGCATAAAGATGGAAATTAATGATAACAGCTATCCATTTTGAAAAACACCAGTTCTGGAAAAAAATAAATATAGGAAATTACTGAAGGGATGAGTATGTGATAAATAAGCAGGATTCAGCACTTACGAATAAGATGGGTTCTTAAGAAATGGCACCCAGCTCACCCAGTGGCCTTAAATCCACACTGGTGATTTTCCACTGTGAAGGGCCCCAAATCCATTAATTGTGCAACTTGTGATGATGACTGTTTTCTTATGACCTAAATTGTACTTCAGACTTGCAGTTTCAGTTAACAAGCTCGAAACTGCATTCAAAATATTACTCACTTCACAAACAAAAGTGGTAACAAGCTATTTCAATATTTTAGTCAAATGAAAAGCCAAAAAATCATAAAGGTGAGCTGTCATCCACTGGATAAATAGTTAAAAAAAGACTTTTAATATTATAGTACTAAAAACCTCTCCTTTTCTGGCTGAGGAAGATTTACCAGAGAATTCCAAGTTAATTTTGAAGAGGCCAGGACTTCTGTTGCTTTTCAGAGCCCGTGAGTAGCAAAGAAAGCCGGACATGAAATAAAGAGCAGCTTAATTTCTACTTGCATTGGCCTGTGCACAGCAGTCTGGCAATGGACTTGCCAAAAACCATCAGTAGACCAGGATTCCTGCACCAATCCAGGGAAATATGGCACCTTCTGTCCCTGCAAGCTGCACAGGATCCATCTCCTTCACCTTGTCTATATATGAGGCCTCTGAGAAATCCACCTTTCCAAGTACAGCTTGGAACTGCTGGACCTCTTAAATA